GCAAAGTGAGGCTCATGCAGGAGCTTCCTAAAAGACATTATTAAATAGTAATAATGACATCTGAATAATTAATCAAAAGCAGGTTATCCATATTTAGCTGTATTCACCTGCAGGTAGATTGTGCTGTGAGAAGAGGCACAGGGGAGATTGGAACAGACTTAGAAAGTACACTGAATAATATGAACTGTTTAAAAGTTTTTGTATGTCCCCTTGCACACAACTTAATCCCAAGTGTATTGTGTGCACAATTTTAGAGTTTCACAGTTTGTAAGTCAATAAAATAACCTAAAATGATAATAATAGAAAGATATTTCATTTAGAATTGAGAGTCACACATTTCACTTTATTCAGTTAATGGGGACTCCACAATCATCTGTGACCCTTTTTCTGGTTGCGTGATTTTGCATAGGGCTTCTAATTCTGACAACAAATACGTGATTAAAGATTTATACACATTACAAACCTGTTTTCAAGTCACCCAAGGAAAGGGTATCTTGAAGGGGTGTTGACTTAGTGACGCAAATCCTCCTCCATTATATAATATTTTAATAGCTAGTTCTCCTCTGAAATAAATGGAATTAGAAATGCCAACTACAACAGAAGTGTGAATCGGTAGCAATGGGTGGATTTGAAGAACATATTTTCTCATTTTCTTTTTACGCTGTCTGATGCAGTATTTGTAGAGAAGGGATCGACACTAATCTTGCTAATGTTCAGTTAAGACTAAAACACATATTGTTTGGTAGCTTCTTCCTGGGTGTCAGATAACATCATACTTGGTACAGTAGGGGCACCTAAAATTATGTTAATGAAGAGATAGGGTTATGGGGTCAAATCACTAATTGAACATTCAACATTTGTGAATTTACCTTTTTAAATATTTCTAATCCTAATACCATATAATCAACTGGGAACGCTGGCTGGTTTTAGGACATGTTTACACTCTAGAATATGAAAACCGCCAGAGAAATCTGTATTTTTCAGGTACTTTTTTCATGTTTGTGGTTGGAGCAGATTACAGCTGTGGTTCACTGGCACGTTCACAGGCAGATGTGCATACAAACTCCCACCTGTGTACTGTTGGTACACACTCATTTATCATGTTTAGAGATCTTCTGTTTTTGTCAGCAAAGCTAAAGTTGTTTCACTGTTTCAAAGTTTCAGCACTTTTTTTCATCCCAAATCTGTCCCTTGGATTTGTCTTCAGCAAGAAATCCTCCACAATGCTTTTCTACCCCATTAGTCAAGACTTATCTCTTGGGAGCTACAATTATTGGCTGTTTAAGATTTAGTGACTTCTAAATGAAATGTGCTTCTGGAACTATGAGTGCATTAGTGCTTGTCTTATTACATTAATTAGAGCCCATAGAAAATACTCCTACATTTTCAATTTTTGATTCTTTTTACTTAACCCTAATAACTTAAACAGAATATCCTTTTGATGACTAATCTCTGCCTTGTGTTGTAGCCTGTCTGCTGAGGAATACAGAGTCTTCTTGGAGCAAAGGGAGGAAAAACTCAAAGCTGATGCTGCTGAAGCTGCTGCAGCTGCTGCCGAGGCTGCTACAGGAAAAAAGAAATAATTCTGTCCCATTTCCTATTTATTATTGTTTCTGGTCTGCATCAAGCCTGTTGTTTTTCCTCAAAGCTCATTGTATGTGTCAAATGTTAATAAAATGATCCTGTTTTCACTTTGTGGTATTGTCCTCCTCATGTGATTATTTGTAGTGAATGGTGCACATTTTATTCTTTGATTTGAATTTTTACAAACCAGCCCCCTTATGCTGAAATTGTATCTTCTTAAGAAAGTTTTTACATTCCTGTCTCTTTGAAATTATTATCTATTATGTTAACTTCTGGTTCTGCTGGTATTTTTCATCAGTTCAGCTTGATGCTAGATATGCTTTATTCACTAGAGTAGGTTATTTGGAAAATTGTGCATCAAATGTATGTCAAGAGGAACCAAGACGCAAACTTGTAATGATTAATATTTCTTCTTGGATGAATAGTTTCTTTTAAAATGTAAATGAACACCAGGTTTGCAATTGTTTTGTTTTATTGTGAAGTTGTAAGTTTAGTTCCTCCGGAAGCTGCAAACATCCAAAAAAGATACCTTTACAGTGAAAGCTAAAAAAATATATAATTTCTAGAGTGTGATGTCGGATTCAGTGGACGTTTGGCGCCCCCAGCCCCAGAGGAGATCTCACAAATCAAGCCTTTCGTCTGCAGTTTACTAAAGGCGAGTGGCGTATGGCGAGATGTAACGTTTGTACAAAATGTATAACTGTATAATTATTGAATAAATAAATGTTTTAAAATTATTTGCAAAAGGTGTCAGCTGTAGCGTTGATGATAATTAACTGAGGAGTTAACTTATGCAGGTGAGTTTTCTTGTCACCCAAGTGAACAAACGGCAGGTTTGGTTTGGTTGGATACTGGGAGTTTAGAACCTAAAAAAAATATTGACCACCCAGTGAGGGAAAGGGTTATCATAGCCTATTGCTTCCTCAGTATTATTAAGTAAGCATCCCTGGCATAAAATATTTTTTGTCTTTTTTTTTTTTTTGCTTGGATGGTAATATCCATATGAAATTACCTATACTATCTATTCTCTTTTGTATGCTATCATTTGATTACTAGTTCCTCAACACTGTGTTGTTGACAGTTTTCAGCACCAGGGGGCAGCACTTAACCATGTATACACCCATTGGCAGCCCAACAAAGACCATAGATGTTGCTTTATTTAGATGGCCTTATTTGACTGAAGGTCTGAAATAATGATAATTTATAACATTCATCTTATAATGAAAATTATAAGGAAAACATTTCTCATATAAACTGAGATGGCCCTACTTTGTTGTCCAATTTTGTCATCTAGCAATTTCACAAAAATCATGTTGTATTGGGAGGACGAGAATAGGTTCATATTAACATTGTCTGGCATATGTGTCATACTGTACATCTAATTTTAGCTTTCTCTTCTCCTTTGTGTGCCCCTCCCCCTTCTTTACAGAGCTTTTCAATGGAGGCTGAGAATAGCACTCAGAACAGGAATGCCTATATATGGAGTCTGGCAAACGCAGGTACATCAAGTGAATGTGGGCAAGTGTAATTTGTAAAGGAGGTTGGTTGTGATGCTGGTGATGGGAGGGGGGTCTTATTTGTGCCTACTATTATGCATCACATCATCATCATCATAAGTGGGAGGTGGCTCTGTGCACGCAAAGCCTCGACGTCCAGCGAGTGCGTCAGTCTGACTCAGATAGTGTCTCGTCATGCGTGTGCGTCAGAGCTGTTGCTGAGCGAAACTCGCTCCGGGGCAGAACGGAGGAGAGGCTGGGAGGGAGGTAGGACTGTGATGCTGAGGATGAAGCTGGGATCTTGGCCATGACGACACAAGTGCATCAGCAGCATTAAGTGCACTTTAATATAAATGCATTTGTATGACAATCAAATACACTTATAAGCATCACAATAGAACACTGGTCCACAATGTCCATTTGCAGTAAGTAGCATATTCATAATACAGTTTATCTCTTTTTAAATAATAAAAATCTCTCTTCTATTTACAGTCCAATAACTCTTCATACAAATGTACAAATGTGTACAACCTTTCTGTAAAACACATATGCCTATATCCACAGACATATGCAGTATGTAGTAACATTGTTTTCAAATGTCACACAAACATACATTTTACACAATATAATAACTTAGCCTTTAAAAGCTAGAACGTAGGAATCAATCCTTTACTTGACCGTAGACAACTCTACGTGAGTATGTCGACACCATGGGAATAGTACCATTCTCAACCCGTGTCGCTTGGTAACTGAATAGAAATAGCACCCCATCCATATTCTCATTTTTTAAAACAAAACATTTTATATTATAACCCCTCTTAAAAAAGAAGAATCTCTCATTCACAAAGTCAGTTGTGCCTCAATACACCGCACTCCAATGGAGCAGCGATGCAACTATCCATTTGTCATGGACTAAAGATGAAGAGTTCAGAGTTCAGCAGGTCAGGGGCATTTCAGGCACAAGGAGCCGCTATAAGCTGCCAGCATTGCAAATATTGATGCTGCAAGAATATCCGGCCGACTGCCCTCAGGCCCCACGAGACCTGGAGAGCCACATTCAGAGTCTAATGTACAGTACAGCGTAGCAGTGAATTATGGCATGATCAGAGCTCCGGCAAACTTGTAGACAGTCTCGTAAAGCGATGAACATTTGGACATACTGTAGCTGAGATCACCACATGCCAGGATCTCTTAACTGTTGAGTATTTTTAGTTTAGTTTTTTTGTTTGTTTGTTGCACAATACATAAAAATACACACATTTTAAGATGAAGTTGCATGTATGGAATGCTAAAGATCTGGAGCAGCAAACCCAAAACTTAAAATATTTTAGATTCATCTTAAATACTGTGTTGCCTATTAAGGCAGTGACGAACAAGACTTGAATCTTAATGTTCTATTGAAACATTTTGAGTACAGCGATAGTGGTTATCCTACGGATATTATTTGTAAACATATCACTTTTAAGGTTTGGATTTGCGCTGCTGCCTGTCCAGCAAAAGAGCTAGAATTGTTCTGTCCATTGGCAAGTAATGTAATTTTTTTTTTCACAACAGAATTTTCACTACGAGTGAATACAAATGCGCGTCTGGAAGTTAAACAGCGCAAATTAGTTCAGACAATGTTCTCTTTTTCTGTTATAGAGGAGGTTAATGGAAATTGCACAAGCTCAGGACCCAGTCAGTCCTGAATCCATGTGATTTTACCATTCTCAAAATGCACCATTGCACCAGTGTGTATTAGTACTGTAGAGATTATGACTTAACAAAAGCCAATCATTTTTCTCAGAGATATGTCGGAATTAGTCCTTTTAATTTATATACATTATGTATATTTATACACTTAATCATTTTTTACTTTTCAGTAAAAGGGGCTCCATAAAATATGACAATATGCCATACTTGATGAAGTAAGTCACAGACTTATTTTAGAACGGAGGAACTTCCACTCCCATCTGAAACACAAGAATATAAATAAGGAAAATATTACTTACACAATTATAGAAGTAGTTTTGTGAGTAATGCATCTGATCTGGGGCTTACCTTTGTGGAAGCACTGTGAGGATGGATGACATTGGAGTTGATACAACTCAGGTTGTTGCCCCAATCCAGGGGTGATCGAGGCACCTGCCCCAAACATGGGTTCCAGGACAGCCAGTTCCTCGAGGAGGGACTGAGTGCAGGTCATGGCAGGTGGCGGCGAGGCGACAGGTGAGGACACTGGACCAGGCGACGCCGTGAGGATCAGGGGAGGGGAAGCTGGGATGGAGGAGCAGGACGACACAGGAGATGAAACCACCTCAATCTCCATGGGTTCCTCTGCTAGCCCCTCCCCTTCAGCATGGACCCCGCACTCCGTAGTCGCACTCGCCCCACAGCCAGCCATGGAGTTACAATGCGCCGATTGGACGCTACACATGTGGCCCACTCCCTCAAACTGGGAGGGTTGGTGCCAGCACACGGGGGTCTGAGGAGATGTGGGATCAGACTGTGTTGGTAGAACTGGAGGTGAAGGAGACTGAAGAGAAGCAAAGTCATCTTGGAGGAGGGTTTCAAGAATATTCTCTTCAAAAAGAGAGTTGTCCTCATCGAGAAACATAGGAATGTCCAGCCCCCGCCAGGCCTTAATGGGATAGAACTCTCGAAGCACATGAACCGGGTCTACATCAGTGGCTTCAACCATGGGGGACATAAATGGAGAGGGTGGACATGAAGACGGAGACATTTTGGACAATAGAGGATCCATGTAGAACCCCTCTGCCAATGAGCTGATGTGTTGGGCAAGAAGAGAGATTTCAGCATGCTCCTTCTCTCGCTCTACTGAGAAGAATGAGAGACATGGCTGTTTGCCAGGGGAGGCCTCCGGTGTAAGCAGGCCCTCAGGGGGGCACTGAAGGGGTCCCAGAGGAACATCTACATAAAGGGGACCCCTAACCTCAGGCAGCGTCATCACTGTACAGTCACCATCTCCTGGGCTGTCAGGAGTAGGGGGAAGTTTTTCGTAAAGAGAACCACTGCAAGGCTCTATTGGGAAAAGCAGGTCTGTAGAGGGAGTGGGCAAGGCCAGGGGCAGTTTAGCAGACAAAGTTGATGGGGGCACAGGGCTGGATGTGGTGGTGGGAGGGGCAGGGGAGGGGCAGTGGAGGTGGTTGTAGTAGTGGTTGTGGCGCTGGGAGGGGGTGTAGTGGTACCTGTGGGGTCAAAACTGAACAGAGGCTCACCGAATGGGAAAGCAGCCCCACTAACCTGGGGTGTGTAGGGAGGGGTGCACACAAACTCTTTGGTCTGAGCCTGTGAGGTGGGCACAGGGGGGAGGGGGAGGGGTAGAGAGGGCAGCGGTGGGTCGAGCTGGAAAGAGGGTGGCAGGAGAATATTTTGTGTAAGAAAGTCTAAGTCTGCCACTGTTTCCACGGTGACCGGTGTGGGGGAGGATGTGGCAGACCGGGTCTCATCTCGGACAGAAGGATGCTGTTGGAAGATGCTCTCCTCCTCCAGGGAAGAGAGACTGGAGCGGGGGTCTCCCTCCAGCTGAATGGTCTCTGTGGCAGAGCTGCTTGGCTCGTCAGAAGAAGCTACACTGCAGCCGGCAGTGCTAAAGTCAAACGACTGGCCTGACAGGCCGCTGCTCCCTGGGGTGAACACTTGGTCAGGACTGGACAGGGTCTCAGGGGACTGAAGGCTGAGACCCTCCTGTTGGGTTGTCCCAGCACTTAGTACAATGTTGAGTTGGGTCTGCTCTGAGCTGAGTTGCTGACGAACTGCCCAGGCCTCAGAGTCACTGTAACAAAAGTGAGAATTTATTTAGCCTTGTATTTTAGGTATTTTGTTAACTGAATTAGTGTGGCTGACACCCACCTGATGATGTAATTGTTGCTAGTGACTGGCACCTCACCAGGCTGTAGCTGTAGTACCATGTAAAGCCAGACCCACGTCAGGTCTTGAGCTTGAACACGGACCACCATCTCTGCTCGGCCCTCTCCGCCTTCCCTCACTGTTAAAGACAAGAACAGTTGTTGACACCACTTTGTCATTTCATGAATCTGAGTGTGGTTAGGATTGTGCCTGTGGGCTCAGTGTGTTGTGTGGGCAGCATGTTTGTAGCATGTGAAGAGTGTACTCACACAAGCTTCGGTGTTGTGCCGAGGCATGTGACAGGTCCTGTGGGTGGAGGAGGCTGTACCAGGAGCGGGATCGCAGCACTGTCACATCAAAGCCTAGATAGAAGCTCACACTGCAGGCCAGAGTGGGAGTCATGTTAGAACATGATGCTTTATTTTCCACTTTAACACAACAACACATGATGGATGGAATATGGAGAATGGAGATTTGTACTTACTTTTCCTGTGCAGAATACAGCCTCATGTCCCGGCCATGCTGTGAGTAGAAACAAGGCAGAAACAGGTTGGCTTCAGCCAGAGGAGCCCCTGTGGTGGTGGGAGCCTCTCTCTCAGTGCCTGGTCCAGAGCGACTTGGGTGGGGCTCCAGAGGAGAACAAAAACACACCCACACAGGGTTAGATGCCCAGTAGGACCCAGCTGTCGACGAGGAGGATGGAGGAGAAAGGCAGCGAGCTCGTATCAGAACCAGTTTATTTCCAGCACTCTGCCTCCGGACTGATTTAGATGTGTTGAAACGGCAGCGCAGGAGACGATCTATGGGAGTGAACAGTTCAAAGTTGATATTTTTGTATATTTTCATATATATTAACTGTTACTGTATATTATATATAATTTTTATATTGACATATTTACCCGTCTCCAGTGATGAAGAAGCTGATAGACTGGTCCTCATAATGAAATGGTCCGATGCATCAATTATATCATACACACTATCCCCTTGTGCCACTAGATCAACCTATAAATACCAAGCACACTTATGATTACTTCTTCTCATCTCAACTAAAATGCATTGTCATAGTTATTGTCATTTTATCTTACCATGGAATGCCCCAGATGCTCTGAGACACTGTCAGACAGGTATAGGAGCTTGCCTTCTCCAGTCAGTAGCATGAGAAAGCCTGGCACCGCCTGCATTAACTCAGATAGCTCGTGAAAAGACAGAAATCCTGCAGACTCTTCCAGACTAGAACTCCCCACCTCTGTGGAAAAAAAGACAAGAACACAATGCCTTAGTTACTATCATATAATTACAGCACTGCATTACAATGACAGGCTGCGGCGTTTCAGCACCACGGAGAGCGACACAAGAGCCTCGCTCCAAAACTCTCTGCATCCATTTTCTTTACCCCAACAGTTATTATTTAATAGCAGAAACTCATTTCTGTGTCATATGAGCACTTGTTGATTCAGACAAAGTGTACATTTCAACAGGTCCTTACCTTGAGTGAAGAAGACGGACTTCCTCGTGTACATGCAAGCCAGTGACATGATGTGTAGATATGAAAGACGCGCTTTATCGGAGTCCGCGATGGGTAACAGGTCTTTCAAGTTCCGGATCTCGGCGTTGATTTGATCCCGGCGAGCCTTGGACGCGCCTTTGGTTGAGCGGTACATCACGGCAGAACTGCGGGGATTCCTCCGGTCAGAAGACAAGATTCTCTGAGTGGAGCAGAAAGAATTTGGAGGTGGTGAAAACTAAGAACTGTTATTGGACTTTCATCTCAGCTCTGGTTGCGCCAGAGTCAGGGTTGTAGGACGTCTGCTGCGCACGCTTAAGTCCGCACAGCACTAAGGTACAGCTACCACGAACCGTAAATCTGGTTGAAGACTCTGCTCGCCGGTCACTTATATAGCCTGGGACTCCCAACGCACCAACACCGACGTAAAAGAGCGGGAGGGGTAGGTTCTATGTGGGGAGGGGGGAGACTTCCACCGCTCAGAGCGTACACAGACTGCGTTGAGCAGTGGAAGTCTTTCTCCTTCCTCCCCTCTTGCCCTCTCCTTTCGGTGACTCTGCCTCGACGTCAGCTCATCCCTCTACTCGTTCATGACGTCGGCTTGAAAAGGGGAGCTCCGGCGACGCAAAAATCCCGATTTGGACAAAACCGAGAAAGAGGCGTGGTCAGAGTAGAAACGTAAACGGAGTCACCACCGGACTCCGGTGTGTTGGGGTTTTAGAGGGAGGGGGGTGGGGGGACCGGGTGCATGAGCAGATCTGTGCTTATGTGCCATCGTTGAGCTGCTGGGACGGATCTCTTACACATGGAATATCTCTTTCAGACAATGCTGCTGTCTGGCCATTTGTGAAATATCCTGAAATAGACACCTATCGCTTCAAAATAGGGTTAGGTTTATTTTTTTTTAGAGCTAGAACCTCTTAACACAAGATAATAGTGTATAAGTACCGACATGCATACACCTGGACTTGACTGTCATAACCACAGGAACTGTGGAAGGCTGCTCATTTTAAGCTAAATTGAAATCAATGCATCAATGCATAGCCCTAAAACATCTCTAGCATGGAGACAAGCAGGTGACACCATCAAATATTTTTCAGAAGTAAATCACAGCAGTTGCTTTAAATGCAAGACGGATTTAGTTTAGTCCAGGCTACAGTAAAGCGAAATTATCTCCATGAAGATGAACAGGTGGTGGACCACCACCAGAAATGTAATTGCACATTTAATCTATTGTAAATGATTAGGCTATATAAAACGAATAGTCGAAATATTCGAATCTATGTGTTTTGTCTTTTTGGAATGAAGTGCCACAGCACAAATGTAAGACTGTAAGACTGATGCAAGATGCCAACTGCTCTGGAGTCCATTTCTTTCACATTTGACGTTTACTAATTGGCTTGTTGAAGATAATGACGTCCGTACGTGAGTCAGGGTTATGGCGTTATACAAAAGCATTTCATAGCGAGCTCTTTCATTTTTCCCCCCTTAAATGACAGCCGATTCTATGCGCGCGTTTTGCCGCCTTATTGCGCAACCTGCAAACGCCGCCGCTAGTAGCACGTGAGGTAAGCATGCTGCAGCTAAAAATAGATTTCACCTGTGACCGACACAAGAGGCGCGAGGTATCCGGATCCCAATCACGTATTTATAAATACCCCTCAAAATTCCGCCAAAAGAGGCTACGTCCGTAGTGCACACTTAACATGTGAAGTGTTATTATTATCAGCCACGTTGTTGGTTTGATGATGAGAGAAATTTTAGGTTTTGAGAATGTGTTTCTTTGGTCTTGGTGTTTAATTTGCATCCAATCATATCTAAGCTTTGTAGCTTTCTCCATCTTTGTCTGGTTGCATCTTTCAGTTTCTAGCACCACTGCAGTTACTCTTCTTCTAGCCCACTACAAGCACCACTACCAACAATGCTACTGCCTAGTCCTGTACTTATTCCAGCTGTACTGCTACTATACTAGTAAAAGTAGCACTGTTGGTCATATTAATAGTATTATTGGTAATAGCAGCAGCAGTAGTAGGTTTACTTGTTGGGAGTAGGGTACTTGCTGTAGTGGTAACAGTAACAGTATTGTTAGAAGTGGTAGTAGTACTGGTAGTAATTGTTGTAATATTGGTAGTCCTAGAGCTTGGAGTGGTAGTGGCTGCAGGAGTAGTAGCCTATAGTTGGATGTTTGTAGTAACAGTGATAGTAGGCCATGGTGACAGAGCAGACAATGCATTTCCACTTGAGTCTTTTTTAGCACTTTTGAAATGCCAGTGCATTTAATGAGCAGGAGTTTCTCACTCACATATCAATACACAACAATGCATTTAATTGTGGCTTTACTGTGTAAATCCAAATGTTAAATTGCAAAATGGATTGCATAATTATTGCATTCATTAATTAATTGCATTGCAAAATGTAATTTGCAAAATGTACTTGGAAGAAAGAGTCCAAGCTTCCATCCTAAAATGCCTTACGTATATGCACATGTTAGCTCATATTACATTGCAATTTTTAAATTATTGTTTAAAATGGGTATTATATTATGCACTACTGTTTGACTATTTAAATAAATGTCAACAACAAAAAAATTTTTGCAAAATATAATTTTAAAATGTAAAGGGTCCAAAAAAACTTCCATAACTACATGTTTCTTCACTGAAATTCAAAATTATGCTTCAAGAGTTAAAATGGTCTACATTAGAAATTGCATGCATGGGTTCTAATTGATAGGACAAATGAATTAACCAGTACATATTATAATAATAGTTATTGTTGCTGTTAATATTAATAATAATGAGTGAAACTGATAACTAATGTGTTTTATTTCCATAAATGAAAAAAGGTAGCTGCAGTTAATTTAAATTAGGTTGTGATTTGTCATGAAATCTTTAGATCCTCGTCACTTTAAAAAAAAACAGTCATCTGCATAATTTAATTGACAGTGTGCTCATTACTGTTGTCAGCCAAACACAAACTTGTAAGATTTATGGATGTTTTGTAACTTTGAAGCTGTTGCATTCTGCTTTACTATATTGTTCTCAGGTGATGTTTCAGCACTTAAAACTGTGGCATGTTTTAAGGTGCCAAGTGAAAGTGTAAAATTTTTGAAAGTGTAACACTTTCCTTGATATGATTAACTTGAACCTTAGCCAAGAAAGATTTGTCACAGCCAAGCTCTTGGTGCCATAATGCTCAATTGCTTTGAATGAATGTTAGCTCAGAAATGGAAAAAAAAAAAAATCTCATAATAACAAGATATCACCAAAAAATTACACAATTTTGTTTTTATGCACAAAAGCTACCCCACTGGCCATAGCATAGAGAATAAAGAGGACTGTTTTGACAGCCAGTATTGGAGTGAATAAATGCAGTCATCACATTACTCGTGTTTTGTATTTATAGGCCTATAGTGTAGGTGAAAATAATATCCTGCTCAAAAAAGGAACACTTTGAAAACACATCAGATGTCAATGTAAAAAAATATGCTGAATAATATCTATACAAATATGGACAGGGCATTGTCTTAGGATCAAAATGATGCCACCTCATTTCATGGAATTAAAAATTCAGCCTACAATTTTATAGACACCCTGAAAATCTAACTGAAATAATGATGTGACAGGCTAGTCCATTTTGCCAAAATGTAATTTCTGCAGCTCAATATGCTTCACAATATCTTGTGTGTCCCCCACATGCTTGTATGCATGTTAGACAACGTCGTGCTCTTAATGATGGATGGTGTATTGTGGGATGTCCTCCTCTGTGTAGGGACATTACTGAGCTCCTGTACAGCCTGAGGGGCAACCTGGCAGTGTCTGATGAACTAAAACATAATGTCCCAGAGGTGTTCTATTGCATTTTAAGTCAGGAGATCATGAGGGCCATTCAAGTGTATCAATCCCTTCATACTGCCTGCCAACTACTGCCATATGAGGCCGGGCATTGTCGTGCATAAGGAGGAACCCAGGACCTACTGCACCAGCGTAGGGTCTAACAATGGGTTCAAGAATTTCATCCGATACCTAATGACTGCTGTATTCTAGCCAGTCACTGATCAATCAACAAACAGCTCATGCTGAGCCATGCTAAAGGCAGCATAGCATTCTCCTTGTCTTGTCCAGATTCTTTCATGTCTATCACAGGTGCTCAGTGTGTACCTGCTCTAATCTGTAAAATGCACAGGGCACCAGTGGTGGACTTGCTAGTTCTAGTGTCATCTAGCAAATGCCAATCGAGCTGGGCAGTGAGCACAAGGCTCACTACAGTGCATGGTGCCCGCGAGCCACCCTCATGAAGTCTGTTTCTGATTGTTTGGGCAGACATTCACACCAGTGGTCTGCTGGAGGTCATACTACCACGGGCAGGGCTTAACCTGTTCCTCCTCTAAATATGGGTCCTGCTGATGATTGAGGACCTTCTACCGCCCTGTCCAGCTCTCATAGAATAATGAGACACATTAAATTAAAGAAGGTGGACAATCTGTGCAACTTCTGTAGGGTTAAAGAATGGCCTCATACTCCCAGTAGTCATAATCACTCTAGCCAAGGCTAGCATTAGTGGAAAACCAGCCAAAAAAAAGACTAAGACTGAGAAACTTAAAATGACCTCCACATGCAAAACCAGTCCTCTTTTAGGGGTTGTCTCATTGTTGCCACTCTAGTGCAGCTGTTGTTCATTTCCATTAGAAGAGGTGCATCCTTTTGTTCCTAAGGCATTGCCCTGTCCATATTTGTATATATCCAACTATTTTTTTTCACATTGAGATCTCATGTGTTTTCAAAGTGCTCCTTTATTTTTATTTTTTTGAGCAGTATATATAAAAATACAGTATATTGTCTTGATTTATTTGATTTTGCAGGAAGCACAATTTGGACAATGTATTTTACATTACTGATTTGAGCTATTGACATTTATAAGTGCATAATAATATGTACAGGCAATACCTAAAACAGTATGAAGGCTCATTTATGCTCAGAGCTGTATACATGCTAACCTCTGGGACAGAAGTGAACATAGTACAACAGGCACTATGTTAAAATAGTCTCAAATAAACCAACTGCACTTCTATCTAATTTTCCTGATTTTCAATCAAATAATGATCTAAAAACTTATACTTTTTATAACATTTTCAGTGAGAATTCATAGGCTGCCATGCAT